CTCTTTCTCTCTCTCTCTCTCTGGGTTGATTTGATGTATGTACGTAGACCGGCACGTTGAGAATATTGCAAGAGAGACCCGCGTCATTGTGCGTGTAATTACGCACGCAAGCGGCTTTTCCATTTTGCATGGCTTGAAAAGTAAACGAGTAGACAAACTTAGTTACATCCTATAGCATCTGTATCTGCACGTACTTACACTGCATCTTATATAACATACAGATATGCATCCGCGCATCACAGGAATGGACTTAGTTGTTCATTAGGCATGTACATGGACCTGGTCTGTTTGTCAAGCAAACCCCTGCAGCTTCTGCGATGCCAAATCTACAGCCTAAGGCTCAACAAGCCTTTCAGACGTCGTACACTACAAGGATGTCCGCAAGATCACCCAAGAACCCTCTGGCGAACAAAATTTCATGCTTTTCGCGGTAGAAAAAACTATCTGCATGCCGATGACACGAATTACGTATGCAGGCTTGTGGATTTGACTGCTCGCCATCTGTTACAGGTTTGGTTTAGGATAAGGATTCCAAGGTATTTACTTCAAGTACGTAGGGCAAGGTACAACTCTCGTGTTGCTTGCAAGCTCGGACGCACGTGGACAGATTCTGCATTTGCGAGCCTTTAGTAAGGAGGGGGTTCAGGGGCGGAGGGTACTAGGGATGCTAAGGCTTCTCAGGAACCTTACGGATCCCATAATCTGCTATGGAGCACCGAACTTGTTCTCCAATACTTGTTTGCAGTCTCTTTCATGTTTATTTGGCCAACCGGTGCCTTGAGAGCTGTCGTACCAAGGCAAAGAATCTTTGGTAAATGCAGCTTCAATATGGAGGTTGTTCTGGTTGCGGTCCCATTCCCGAGACCCTGAAGCATTGATTACCATGCCTCGGTGCAATTCAGCGCATGTCCCTCATACTCTAGGATAACTGGCACCGGGATGCACAACATGTCCAGCTAGGAAGTTGACAGCGGGAATTACTGCATCATGCATGAGCTTCCCAGTACGACGGTTCCGGCATCTTGTGCTGACTGTGTTGAACCGAGGAGGCTCCACCTTCGCCAGGAACAGGGCCCCAGGCAAACTCACGACATACCTTCCAGAGCAGGATGGTTGGCTGTCCGGCCGCTCCCGGATAGGTCCGTGGGAGGGTTCACTTTTCCATGCCCGAAGTTGTAAGCCCTACAGCAATCCGGAGGCCTTACCAACTAGAATGTGTTGGGTTTTGGGGCATATTTATGGTAGTATAACTACAGTATAACGGTATAGCGAGAAGGAGTGATAAGCAATAGTACCGGTAATTTCTCTAGCATTGCAGAGGCTACTAGATCACCACTGCCCCACCAGGCACGAAAAAAAAGGGCACAGCCGACATCCGTCTCGTTGAAAAACTCTTGCTTCAGACCCAAACGATCCCACATCCGTAATGGCCATAGCCCAGCATTCCGCAGAGCCGGATGACCAAAACTGCACACGCTTCACAACGACAGGGCTTGGCTTGGCGATCCAAAACCTATGAACCCCAGCTGTTGTGCTAGCAAATACTCGAGATTGAAACCAAAGCATCCTCGTGAAGCCCAGGTGCGAGTGAAAGCACTTTGCGTTTCCAGGAAGTCCATACTTCCTGAGACCATGGGTGAGTCTGAACTAGTCATTTTCCTTTCCTATTTGGCACCGTGTTGTCGTTTCAGAATTTGGGTTTAGCAACTTTTTGCCAGCATCGACACCACCGCAAAGGACGCCCAGCGTGCAGGCCATTGAAACTGACATCTTGTCAGCAGCAACTCCAGAATGCGCGGACAACATCACACGTCCTGACTGTGGCCAGAGTATGCCCACTCTGATGCCCCAAGCCGTGAATGCTAGACCCAGCGCCGAGGCCAAACCCCCACGTCTGCTTTGACCGAGTATCACTTTGGGAATCTTCCGGTCATCTTTGGGCGGGGCGTCGCCGCAGTAGCCCAGCTGCAGAACATCAAAGGCTGGCCTCACTTAAGGCTGAAGGAAAGTGAGGAACAACGGCCGCACTGTGGACGAGACTCAAGCATCAAGAGTGCTAAGCTGTAACAGCTGTATGACTGGACGGGTCGTGGCTACTCATGTCTTGCTTTTCTCATGCTTTGTGCTTGGAGTTGCCAACTCTCCCGTTTCAACTCTTATTGCAAGCCGTCGTCGAAGTAGTCGGTAGTGGTCATGCTCATGGTCTTCGCCGTTGCATCGTCTCCTGTCAAGCCTACACAGTAATCGACCTGCATCGTCACCTTTAGCAACGCTTTCTTTTTTGGCGCTTCAGGCTTCAAGTCTTCAAGGTTCCGTAATGATCGGGTGCAGAACTATAGGGTTAGTGCCTGGCAACTTCCAAGCTGCAATACGCCATCTCGTTGTCAAAACAGCAACACTACTCAGCAAAGGTTTAAGCACCCGGCACACTCTCTTTCACAGTCGAGAGCCGTTTCCGGAAATCCGGAGCGAAGGACACGGTATCCTCGAAGATCGTGGCCTGGGCAAAGAGATTTCGAGTTACTCTCGGCGCTGCCATGCAAGGAGGCACGACCACGGGCCTCAAGCTTCAACCGCAACTCAAACTCGGGAGGCAGCAGCGGTTATGGTTGGGCTTCACAGCCCGGGGCGACGATAACTAGTAGTTTGGACGAAGCATGCGGTGTCGGAGAGCAGTCCGGCATAATTAGTGTGGAAGGCTAGTGGAAATTGACCCTAGGTCCCGAATTGCCACGGTGTAGGGACTTGGTGAAGGCTTGTTTGATTGCAAACCAAAGCAGGACTTTCCAACTACGCAGAGCAGCCCGGATACGAGCTCGGGGCTGTTACAATGCCCGTGCGACACCCCTGAGCGCTGGCAATGCCATCAACCGTCTCCAACCCAACCGTTGCTGCCCGGGTCACACAGGTCAACTGTTCCTTGGAAGCAGGCACAAGGTTCAGGGTTGCGGTGTTGTAGGGTTTAGGACACTGCTCAAGACAGCCAGGTTAAGGGGTGCTGACCAGTTAGCCTGCAGAATCTAGACATTCAATATGGCACGTCCAGCACTGCACGAGATACGAGAAAGATCCACAAAGGATGCCCTTTCATCCCTTAGCCCAGGAAAGGCTCGTCAATGACCTTCTCGTAAATCTGTCGGTGGGTGAGGGCCCGTGCCATCGACTCGTCGCAGGGGCACGACTCCTGTAGTCTGCTCTTTGCAATACATTTGAGATTCGGAGTGTCGGTTCCGGACCCTCTGGCAAGTGTGGTGTCGGTTTCTGGATTGGGGTATACCCTGACACTTTTTGAGCGGTAGCTCGGTTTCAAGGTGTTGGATGGTCTTTCGGATGTATCCTGGAACGGTTTGATAAGGTTCGCAGGATGCAAACCCAGTCACACTACCTACTACCACTAACTTGAACATCGGCCATTGCAATGCTCGAAACTCTCCTACATCGGTTTAACTTGTGGGACTTACTAAACTACAGATCCACATCCTTTTAATTAAACCTGTGTAGAATTAACCTATACCACATAACTTCGCATCGATTCAAGCCTCTAGCATCCTAATAGCTCCATACTGGTAGTAAACCTGCTTACTTACAGCAGCTCTGCATCCCTGGTCGTGTTGGCGCTTCCTTGCCCAGCTCTTGCGCCAGCTTCGGATCTGTCCTCCGGGGGTGTCTTCAGAAGAAGGGAAGAGGCAAATGCTGTCAACCCCGGGATGAAAACACAGGGCCTGTAGTTCCGGTGTAATGTAGAAGCCTTCATAACTAGAATAAGGACCCCCCAAACTAGCTTAGGTAGATATGAAGGCCCCCCATATAATGTTGGCTTTAGGGAGCCTCCAGATCTGCATGTCGGCCAAAGCAGGAAGGCACAAAATCCCAAGGAGTGGCGTGGGAGCTATTTGCCAAAGCTGTGACGGCTTGAGGCGTCCTGGGATCCACAGACGGCCAGTAACTGACGTTCTTCGCGATTCCTGCTGTTTCCAGCTCCTCGATTTGGATCTCTCCAGATTCTACATATTATATGTTATAAATTCCCTACGTTTGACACAAGCTCGGTGGGAAGGATGGATGCCCCAACAAAGCTACATGCGGTACCGCCTCCCGACCTAGACCCGCAAATGCAGTATCGTTTTGTGGCTAATCTATTTCATGGCATCCTCTGGAGAGATGGCCGGGCAGGGACGGGTACCTCGTCCAGGGTCCAGCCCACGAGTTTTGGTAGGGTATCTAGATACAAGCATCTGTTTAAGCGTGTGTATGTATGTATGCATGCATGCATGTATGTATGTATATGTGTATGTATGTATGTATGTATGTATGTATGTATGTATGTATGTATGTATGTGGAATGTATATGTATATACAGATAGGTAGTGTATTTATCAATACTCTCTTTGTGAAGT